CATGTTTTGACAACCCTATCTTTTCCTAGATTTAAGTTCGTGCCTCTGTATAATAATTTGTATACCAATTGATTGTTTTAGATAACATACACAGCTACAGTCCTTAAGATATGTTAGAATTATCACGGGATTTGTATATAAATTCTTAGCCAAAATTCTAGTAGTAGGGAATTTTTATTGGAAGTAAGGAGACAAAAACATCTTAACTTTTTTTTATAGGATGAGGGCTAAACCATGAGATGGGTCACCTGATGGTAAGTGACTACCGACGTTCATGGACACCTGCAACTCTACACACTCTAGACCAGGGATTCCTCGAGTCGATATCGACCCCTTTAATTCCAGTTGCTGCCGTTTGAATACCTCTCCTCCAAATAATAGGAAGGGGGGAGAGGGGGAGGGGTGCCCTTCAGTAACTTCACTCATCCAGTAAAAAGTGACGAAATAATTATTTAACAGCAGTTTTCTGTGAGGGTGTGTTGTCACTCCAATTTAGTTATCTTTTAACTTATCTTTCGTTAGTTTCTTAGCAAATATTTCTTATTAAATCAGAGAGAAAACTCTCTGATCAGCAAACAGTTACATATCAATTTAATTGTTGCAAACAATACTTTAGTACTTTTAGTGACACAGCAAACTTCATTTGACAATAAAGCAATGCAATAACACACATAGAGGTCGTTGACGTTTTGCGGAAAACATTTACATGCAATAATGCTTATAAATACGTATTGATGTATTTAATATACGTATCTATTGCATCGAACTAAATATAACCATGTGTTACTGTGACAACTGCGTAAAAAGAATTAGCAGAAGATTGGGCAAATGAGAGATTAAAACCGCTGTTAAATAATTCCAATGTTGCTTTTTACCGAGTGATTGAAGATATCGGTGACTCGACCCCGAGTTCTGGACTAAGGAGACTCAAAAGCCGGCAAACTGGCAAATAATAATAATTAAGCAGCGGTAGCCTAGTGATTAAGGCATTGGACTCAAGAGGTCGTTGGTTCGAATCCTGACCAGTACACTACCGACGTGAACCCACTCCGCCGCCAGTGGACAGAAGAAAAAAAATTATAGCATATATATTACTAGCAACTGAAATTACTAACTCCTAATACTAGTCATTTCAGTTGCTAGTAATATATATGCTATAATTTTTTTTCTTCTGTCCACTGGCGGCGGTCACCTCTTTCGGTCAATCCTCTTTTATCCATCCATCTCTTTAGTCGACCTACTCTTATATTCAGCAACGTCCATACGTAGAATTTTCTTCTCTACATCTTCACTCATCTACCTGCATCAAATGTCAACACTAGGATAACCTGTAGCTCCTCATATATTTGTCTACTCATTCTTGAATGCGATAAAAAGAGTTGCTTTAGATAAGAAGAGAGGCATTTAAGATAGAGAAAGTATAAAAAAGGTTTGAATTAACAGTCTATTAAGTAAATTTCAGTCTTTATGTAACTCAAATCATTTAAATCTCACATTGAAATGTATTTGTATGAATTTGGTTAAAACATGGTATAGTTAGCGATAGTAAACATGAGACAATACACTATTGTTAAAAAAGAATGCGTACGATCAATACATGTTTGAAAGTGTTTTTATTCACACGACAGTGGCTACTATGAGGCAAGCAGAGGCGCAGGTGTAAGAACTGCTAAAAGGTAATTGTAGTCTCACATGTGATGTACAGGACATACAAATTTAACGATGATTGCATTTAACGACCGAATGGCGTAGTGGTTCATGTAACGGACTGCTATTCCAAAGGTCGCGGGTTCGATTCCCGCTCAAGTCAAACATTTGTGTGCATGAACATTTAATGTTTGATTTGGTCTGGGTGTTTCTATGTATAATAAGTATGTATTTACAAAAAAAATGTATATATGTATTTATATCAGTTGTCTAGTACCCATAGTACATAGCTTGCTTAGATTGGGGTTAGATGGCGTTGTGTGAATATGGTACAATATTATTATTATTTATTATTATTTTGTTTATATAATCCATTAAAACTTAAATTGTTTCATATTGTTTCCCAAACTCTAACATTTAAATAAAAGTAATAGATAGAGGCATCTCATACGCGGCCGTTTGATCCCACATTAGGCAGACCCTGTAACCACCTTACATTTTATAGGTATATTAATCATACAGTCATTTGTTCTGGATGGGAATAGAATCCACTATTTTAATTTTAGCAGTCGCTAACCACTAGGACAACAGGCTAGTCGGATATACAATTAACTTACTGTTATTTAAAAAAGGAAATCATGTCGAAATTTCTTAATGTAAAAAGGTTTTACTAACTGGCAAACCAAAATGTCTTAATTCTATTATAACTGAAGTGTGGAGTCACGAAACTGTTGCATAATAATGTAATAATTACAACCTTTATTCTAAATGGCGCTGTTAATGAATAACTTTTAAAAAGTACCACATTCAATACGCTTACAGGCTTCATTAATTAATATTCCAACCTTAGCGTTGATATTGTTCTACAAATTTTAATGTGACTGCGCAAAAAGAATCGTAGTAGTTCGTAAATGAAGGAGTTGGGAGGTAACAAACATTTAAAAAAATACAAGGAAGAGAAGCGTACACCTCCTTCTTTTTTGAAGTTGGTTAACATGTTTACAAAACTGTATTTGGCATTGTTATAAATTGCCCAGCAACTGAGCACACCTCTCCAAACCTTTTAATCATCATCTTCATTCCCTTGTGTGTATTTCCCATATTACATGTTAGTAAAATAATAATGTCTAAAACCTAACACACATATCTTTGTTTGCCATTTCATATCATCGTTACTATTTTAGCCAAAGTTTTTTTTAAACTACATACAGAGCCTCTACTTAACATGTCCTCCATTTTGAGTATAATAACAGAATACAAAATGTAAATAAAATAAAAATCAATATTGCTGATTACTCAGAACAACAGCACTGCAGAGAGAAGGAAAACTTGACACAAACCCTTTTTTTTTTTTTTTTTTTTAACGTATGGATTAAGAATACGAGTTGTCGCCACCCCTATTCATTTCATTCATTCATCGACTGAGGAACCAAATTACGCCGAACAACATCACTGCAAAGAGAAAGAAAACTTGAAAGAAACCCTATACCAACCCGTCTGGCCAGCGTGGTATAGTAGGCCAAAACCTCCTTTCTAAGGAGAGGCCTATGTCCAGCAGTGGACTATTAAAGGCTGTTGATGATGATGATTGAGACTACGTTGTAATTATGATTCAATTTATGCAAAAGCCTTGCCAATATAACTGTCAATGAGTTTTTAATCCGTTGAACGACGTCTTATTATCCCACACTCTTGTTACCTACTCAACTAACCTGAATATGGAAAAAAACCTAAAATAACTTTAACATATAATTTTTCCAGACAGTTTCTTATGTAACACAAAAACATGTCTGGAAATTTCTTTGACGTAAATAAAATGTACTTCAGAAATGAGCCCAGACTTTTACCTGGGGAAAAGCTGTGTCGATCATGGGTTGAGTGACAAGCCCTATGTCCGACCCTAAAGCGACTGCTTTAAGCCTTTTCATCTTCATGAAAAAAATTCGTTATTTTTCTTCTGATGAAAGTTAAAAACTCTTTTCTTGGAAATATATACAGTTATAAAGGAATATAAGCTTTGGTAAGTTTACTTTTTATTGGCCGTTAAAAGGTTGCCTTGTCAATTCATATATATTACTAGCTGACCCGCGCAACTTCGTCTGCGTCTCTCAATAGTAATAAATTTTCTCCGTTTTTGAAACATTCTTCATTGGTGCTCCGCTCCTATTGGTCTTAGCGTAATGATATATAGCCTATAGCCTTCCTTGATAAATGGGCTATCTAACACTGAAAGAATTTTTCAAATCGGACTAGTAGTTCCTGAGATTAGCTCGTTCAAACAAACAAACAAACAAACAAACTCTTCAGCTTTATAATATTAGTATAGATACTCTTTGAGTTGTCGATTTTTGATAAATTTGCCTGATGATGTGTACAATATGATATTGTTTGTAATTTGTATTGAATGCGGGGAATAATCCATGACGATTATGAGGTAAAATATATTATATATCATGAGATATAAGAGCAGTAGGAAATAATACAAATTCGGTTTTATGTAAGTAAATTATTTTACATTATAAAACAATGCAATAATATCTAAACAGACATTCATTTATTTCATCAGTTTCTAGTTCCAGGAAATCCTCAAATCAAATAAATTTACATATTACGTGTTTAGATTTTTTTACTATTACGGAAAAGCTAGCTAACAACTTAAAAGGGAAAAAGATTTATTTTCATATTAGTAGTATTAGTAGTTATTTTAATCTTTTGCTGCGAATACAAAATAATATTCTTCAGCCTTACGTTGTTAGTAGGCACTATGCTAAACAATACTGCCTAATTCTGTGGCTTCTGTAGACACAAAGCACTTCTTTAAAAAATAATCTCTGTGTACCAATCTTATACACAAAAATAAGTATTTTCTAGGCGTAGGCGCTTCCCCGCCTTACGCGATGCAAGTTGGGATAGGTCAGGGCGCCGTACAATACAAATGCTCATTTACATAAACTGTCATTTTATGTTAAAAGAAAATGCATCGCAACGTAGCAAGGTCCGTAGCGTGCTGTAGACAACGCTGCGCTACGCTCGTAGCACTTTCTTTTCATAACTCTGGTGACGTTTCAAATATATATTTTTCTTTTAATTCCAAAGTTTTTATTTCAAAACATTACATGGCACAGCTGTGACTCAATACTATAAACAATTTTAAAATATGTTGTAATTTGTAACAGACGTTTTGAAATAATTTTATATTTGATTTATGATAATAAGACCATAACGATATTTTATTAACATTAATAATTTGTATTATAATTATAATGTAGCAAATCAGTGAAGAATGTCAAGTGTTACTGGTTTTTGTAATTGGTTTATTTTTGAGTCAGCTTTACATTGTATTGTTATTGATGCTAAAACTTACTGTATCTCTTCATGAGTGACTTCTTGTAGGCTTTCCCAGAGACAGCATCGTCTCCAGGGCTGAGGCGTCCGGCGGAGTCGTCGGATTCAGTCCCAGAGTCTCGGCCGGACGCCAGGTAATCCTGAGACTGCCTCAGGATCAGTTGTGTCCTCACATAGTCTGAGGGGTCGGCAAACGCCGAATGTCTTGCGAAATCGCATACAGAAATCTCTTTGCGAACAGTCAAGTCCAATGGAGCATCGTCGTCTTCAGGTTCACGTTTAGGAGACATCGGCTCCTCGGGGTAAGCTTTCCTAGCAGCAAGTGTGCGAGGTTCGTTATCGGCGCTGACCCTACGGTCGTCAGCCGGCGACCGGCGTGGTTCCGGACCGGCGCTAGCCGAACGCGCTTCCACAGCCATCATATTTAATTATTAACACCAAAACACCATAATCACAAGCCCACGGTTTTCAGTTATGTCATAGAGCGTAATGTGTTGTGTTGCAACCTCGCGCCGCGTCCGCCGGCGTTCGCGTCGTGTTACGGACTGATGTCCCAGTTTCGACGATGAGTTCCACTGACTTCGTGAGCTCACTTCGGGCGCGCTCGGCGCCGCTCGGACACTTTCGTTTTCGTACTGCTCGCGCCTATGTGTGTGGGTTCGCACACACATAGACACGAGCAGGCTCTTGTTGTTGTGTGCGTGTGTTTTTGAATGGGTGTGTGTTTGGAGCTTTTCCACTTTCATCGCGAAGCTTTCCTTCATTTTCAGAGTTATCCAACAGGTTTTTCGCCGTTTGGTCACGTTGATTGATTACAATTGGTCGTTGGACGTTTTGACTTATTTCTTACTGACTGTATACAAAGTATGAATTGATACGGAAAAAAATTAAATATATAATAAATGAGGAAAAAAGTGCGTTAAGGTTTGAAATATACTCGTTTGATAATTATTGTTACATAGATAGTTAAATAACAATTTATAATATTTATCATCAACCGGAACGCGAGGGACAATCGGCAGAGTTTGCGTAACCGGCCGCGTAAACAAATTGTGTGTTTTTTATCTAACGTTCGGGCATTGACCTGCTTTACAAATAAAGTTGCGCGCGCGCCGACCACGTGACACACTAAAAACGCCAGAGTAACTTGCTCTACGGCCGTAAGTTGACTTGGTATATCGGTTGAATAAGAAGGAGGTCTATGTATAGTGGTTTGGTGGCTAGATATGCTGGTTGAAAATAGATAGGGTAGTTGCCTACTATGAATTTAGAGCCAATGTCACACGTTCATCCGATACAGATAGTGTTGGTTGTTGCCGCCAACCTGGAAGTGGATGATATTTCTGGCATTTAATCATTAACAATTAGTGGAGTGGCAATAATTTGTGAATAGAAACGGAGCCTTGACTGACAGCAGGAAACACAACCTTCACTTTGAAGTCATGACTACCTCCATCACACCAAAGGACCCTCCCTCCCTAGTGTTTTGAAAAAAACTAGTTTTTTTTGGGATAAAGGGAAAAACCTATATGGTATTCTAGTGCCAAATTCATACTTTCGCATTTATGATAGTAGTAACATACTAAATAAATAGAGAGTTGGACAATATATACTAGAGAATTGTTTAATGTTATAAAATCAGAATGAGTTCATTTATCAAATTAAAAAATTAAACATAATACATATATACAAGCACTGTAAATAATATCATAAACAGAGGCTGTATATCGGTAGGCAATATTCATTAATTTAGTTTCCTTTGGCTCGTCAATGTTGCCTCGGCCCAATAACTGAATTAAAAACCTCGACTACAGATAATAAAGTTATGTAATGTTACTGGCTGATATTTGTAACGTATAAGTAAATACCTTTTTAAAAATAAATGTTTCTTTTTTTATTTCAAATAAGGAACTCTTTACTTGTCCTTGGCAAAAACTGTATTTTAATTATATAATTATAATAATATTAGTTTTTATATAGTCTTAAGATTTATTTCCGTTAAAAATAACGGTTTCTTATTTTTAATGTCTGTATAGTGATTGGTAAAACTGTCATTTCGTGATATTTCAGACATTAAACGATTCCATTTTTCTTAAATCCAGTTGTAAGAGTAACATTTTGTTATTAAAATATAAAGTGAAATCCAATAAAATAATTAGTTAAATAATACTTTAATTATAGTGTTTTCTGAGAACAGAGATTTTATTAACTGACGACCATAAAGTCGAAACCATATAATGTAAAATTAGTTTCGCGCCAAAAGATACTTGTTTAGAATAGACTCAATTATCATAGACGCAATTAGATTGAAAAATATATTTTTTTACTTTATAATGATAATTTTGGTAATTGTGAATACAATTATTTTATTCAATTAAAGCAAGACTATGCAATGTGCATGTCGAATTCTTTGTTTCTTTTTATTATTAGTTTTATAAGCTTCCACGTTCTGGCTTCCACGTGCAATATTGTTTTTTTTATTAGTAAAACAATTAATTTCTTGAAAAAATACCTAAATCCTTAAACTTGATATTATAGTTCCTACATTACCTACCGTTTCTTTTTGTTTTTTTTTCTTAATTTCATAACAAAGAATACAGTACTGTAAACGCGCACAAAATTTGTAGTTCTGATATAAGTTCACAGAAAAATTCTGAGATATACTTATCAGTGCCATTGTGGCGTAATAAAACAATACTGTCTTCAGCAGTTAACATCAAATTCATTCAACTCTGGTGTTTATATAATATTAAAAATAATCTATAATTCAAAACAGATATTGTTCGAGATAAACTATGTAGTTAATAATGTTAAAAAATTAAGTTTCTTCTTTGGTCTGGGTGTTTCTATGTATAATATGTATGTATTTACAAAAAAAAGTATATACATATGTATTTATATCAGTTGTCTAGCACCCATAGTGTAAGCTCTGCTTAGTTTGGGACTAGATGGCGTTGTGTGAATGTGGTAGAATATTATTATTATTATTTAAAGTACGTAATCAATCATCGAGGTACAATAGCACTTATAAAACAATAATATAAGTCATTTTAGGTTTTGGAAACTGGATTTCGAGAAAAGCTCAGTGAAAACTGCATATGTACAAACAAATTTGTACGGAACCCTCAGTTGGCGAGTCCGACTTGCACTTGCCCGGCTCTTGTTGGTAAGGTTAGGGAAAGTTTGACAAGAAATATAAATAAAAAAAGGTGTAAGAAGTTTAGATTACGATCAAATGAATTTGGGAAATAGGGAACGCGGTCAATATATATTGTAGAAATATCAATATAATATGATATACAGACCTATTTACTAATATTAGAGGAAGTGGGGATACATAAGGAAAATATATACACATAATTGTACATAATTAAATAACACTGTACTTACATATGTAGATTATTATAATGTTACTGACAAGAAATAATAAAAAGCGTGGCAAATTGGTGCCTATAGCTAAGTATATCAATTAAAAGTAGACTATCATTTTTTTTTTTATTATTATAGGTAAAAGAGCAGCGCACATCCGTCTAATGGTAAGTGGTCACCGCCTTAAGTACCTGCGACAGTCCTGTCCAGTAACAATTGTGCTATCTGTTTTTGAGCTAATGAGCTGGAAGTGTGTTCTGTAATGCTCACATTTGTATAGCTTTTATTAAGCTTTTGTTAATAAAGGATTATTTAACTGTAATAAATTCATCATCTATACTTCCTGTAGTCTAGACACTTACGTAAAATATATTTACACGGAAACAGATACTTTTATTAGTCATAATATTATTTATGTTGTTACAGAAATCCCAGATTAATTTCATATTGGTTTGCCTCGTTGGTTGCATCCGTGTGGTGACCGTTTAAGAATACAGAGAGTCACCACCCCTGTTCATCCCGTGGGTGTCGTAAGAGGCGACTAAGGGAACAAACTACGCAGGACAAGAGCACTGCAGAGAGAAGGAAAACTTGAAACAAGCCCTATATCAACCCGTCTGGCCAGCGTGGACTATTAAAGGCCAAAACCTCCTTTCTAAGGAGAGGCCTATGTCCAGCAGTGGACTATTAAAGGCTGTTGATGATGATGATTGCCTCGTTTTGATTACGACCTGTAATACTGAAGTGAGTTTATCCAATCTTATTTCATGATTATCATTCTTAATATTTCAGTTCTCTACGACACCCACGGGATGAATAAGGGTGACACTCCGTATTCTTAATCCGTCACCATACGAATATAGGCGAAGCAGTTTGGGTACGAGATTCTTTAAGTCTCGAATGCGAAATGGGACTAGACTAAAGTAGTAGTGTTGTGTAGACACATGACCTTCAATCACAGTCCGTCTTGTGATTGAAGACACAACTAGGCAAACAAAGGTTGTCTCATATACAAAATTATATTGGCAAATATGTTTTTTCTCTATTGCTGTAAAAATTGAAATACACATACGTACGTACATACAATCACGCATTTATCACCGCAGGGGTAGACACTGGTGCTAATATGTACCTACTGTGGTTCGAAAACTCTCTAAACCAAACTCAATACCACTTAAAACTATTTTAGTTCTGTCAAATACTACGTTTTCAGAATAGGAAACAAAAGTGAAAGTGGATAGAAAAGTGGCGGTTTTTTTTTGAAATATGTGGCAAGAGTATTGCTGTCAACTAAACACACATATTTCTAAACACTTACATATTATATAAATGACTTAGATACAGAACAAATGATCTCTGGCCTTATGGTCAGAATCAGTAACAATAGACCAAAAGGCAAATCTATTATCTTATATATAAAATTCGCGTGTCACAATGTTAGTTACCATACTCCTCCGAAACGGCTGAACCGATTTTTATGAAATTTTGTGTGCACATCGGGTAGGTTTGAGAATCGAAATGACAAGGGTGACCCACCCCTATTTTTTTTTTAAATATATCCTAGAAATAATGTATATGGCAAAACAACGTTTGCGGGGTCAGCTAGTATCTATATATACTAATATTATAAATGCGAAAGTGTGTCTGTCTTTTACCTCAGCACGCTTAAACAGCTGAACCCACTTAGATAAAATTTGGTATAGAGATAGTTTAGGTCCCGGGAGATGACATAAGATAGTTTTTATTTCAAAAATCATGATTTAATCGGGTGTAAAGGGGGGTTGCAGATTATATGGGGAATCTATAACCGCGAAACCGATTCAGATGAAATTGGGTATGGAGATTGATGATAAAGGACATAGGCTTTGTACCGTGATAACCGACAAAGCTAGTGTAAAATACTGCACAGTTTAGGAAAGGTTAATACGCAGTTTATAATATGTATCAGTAATCAACAAGAACCGTGACCTCTTTAGAAACAGGTGATCTTTCTACTAGGAAGTTATCCGCATATCTAGCAGTAAAGTCACTCGTGTCGAATATTAAAATG